AAGGTCAATTACTTCAAAAATTTTTTAAGTGGTCCCAGGACCAAGTTTAGGCATACAATTCAAAAATGTGTATTTTGAGACATATTTGAGGCTCAAAAAGTTACATTCATATGTCCTTTTGTTTTTTCCTTCACAAATAGGGTGTGTTGTAAGCTGCTTAGGCCATCAAAACTGAAAGCTTTAAGAGCTCTCTCTTAAGGCACGTAATAGTATTTGTTGGAAGGCAGAAACCCTGGATGTGATTTAGTGCCCACCAGTAATTCGTACACATTTTGAAAATCTGTCATGATATATGACAGCTCTCTTGGGCGTTTTGCTTTTAAAACAGAATTGTTTTCTGAAGATGCCATGTTTTTTGTCATTGTTTTCCATTTCATTCAGTCATTTTTCAGCATTAGAGACCACACATACTGGGCATACTTCTGGTCTCATTCTCACCCACGACATTCTGACTTCAGTAGAGTTGCATGGGTGTAAATTAGACTAGAACTTGGCAGGAGAAAGCTTATGATTATATTTGGCAGAGGCAGCAGGCTGCAACTTTATTAACATAATTAACAGCTACAAACACACCCAACAGGCCAAAGTAATCTAGTGACAGAAGAGAGAAGGTCTTTGTAGGAAAGGATCATTCACGCTTTCTTTTGGTGTTCTGCTTCGTGTTCCTGAGTTCCTATTAAGGCTTGGAGAGCTTTCAACTGAGCTGTAATTCAAATTCATACGGCTCCTGCAAGACACCTTGAACAGACTTTTGCTGATGAGTCTATAGGAACTGTCAGCAGTACAGAGATTACTTCAGAAGCATGATGGTTGAATTGAACTTTACTTTCTGATGTTTTGCTTTTTGAATTAAATTGTTGGACAAGATTAATTGCACGCAGTAAGAGATTTAAATGAATAGTTTTATAAAGCATTAAAGTTCTAAGTATGTCACATGGGAAGAAAGCTGTAAGGTTTAAATGAATAAATGTATTTAATGCATAAAATGTCTAGGCTAATTTTTTAATTCCTTTACTAACATCTTTTATTGAAAAACCATACTTTATTCATCCATCTTAGTTATACTGCTGTGGCTGTGGTAATTTAATATTCCTGCTCTTCGCTAATCTTCTGGTTCAACAGAAGTAAACAATAGGTTTCATAAATTAAAAATACGCTCTTCAGAACATGCTTCTAAAGATAAAAAACAAGGCTGTAAACATTTATGACTGAAACAAACTAGATTGTTCAAATACTGCCATGATGTATCATGTATATCAATATGGCACTGATATCAGTTAGAATGCAAACAAGGTTTTAAATGATGTGCCCCTTCATTTCAGCTGGAGAATCCGCTTTACACCATCTGCCTATCAGATGGTTAGGAACCAGGACTGCGTATTAATGCCACATGTTCGATTTTCTTTCCACTTGTAATGGTTAGATTCATATTGCTAATAGCTGTGCATGAGCACTGTCGATGAAATTTGTGTGACGATGGAGTGATGAGATATTTATAAAGCTGCCTGTCTCACTGCATAATCAGCAGGGAGAATGCCAGACATAAACAACTTATCAATTTCAGAATATTAATGACAACTACCATTGACTTTAATGCATTGAATATTTTGGCCTGGGTACTTTTTAACTGTTCAAATAAATATTTGTAAAGAAAAAAAAAAAAAATCTAAGTGGCTGTTTGGTGTGAACCCTATTTCTTTCATTTCAGTTGCCTTTATAGGTGACTCCTCTTTATCTCATTTGAAGATAAAATTTCTGTAGTGTAGAAAAGTGCACACTTCAGAAATTCCTTGGCTACTTGTAAAAGTAAAGTGGTATTAAATAATGTTTAGGCCAAAAGGCTTTTTTGAGCAAATTAAAAAAAAAACAAACCCAAAATCAAAGTATTTCTCCAAATATATACCTATACCTGAACTTTCTAAAGTTTGGTATTTAAAAAAATAAATCTGAGTATTTACCCAAGTATGTACCTGTACTAGAACTTTAAAGTTTGTTATTTGAAAATATGCATATAGATACATAGTAGCTTATTAACCTCTTCTGTTTAGAATATATTTGGCTGCCTTTGCTAGTGAAATAAGTGAGATAAGCTGGGCCCTGCGCTAAGGAGGAGGTTTTGCCTTGTACCATACCACAGTGCAGCAGGGGTAGTGCCCAGGGGGCTCAGCAGCTGGCTCGGGACCCTCCTTGCCACTTGCTTTGCTATGTCGTGACAGTCAAGTGAGAGAAAAAGTAACACTAAAGCAGAAACTGTGCTGTATGCTGGAATTGCTGTGAGGAACGGCATTAAGCTATAATTCTGAGGATTATTCCTTACTCACATTTCCCCCTCGCTTAGACCAGTTCTTATGCGAGACACGCATTTCAGATACGTATAGTTTAAATTAATTGCTGTATACGGCAATGTAATGATTTCAGTCACTTATGCAGTTGTATGAGAGAAGGAATGAAATTACTAGTTTAATTTCTGCTTTTTTAAGCATTATCTTGCCAAAATCATACCACAGAGCTAAGCGATCTGTATTTTAGTTTCCCAGTCCCTACCCAAAGGTTATGGCCTCCTTTAGAGAGAAGCATTACGGCCTACTTTGGAGAGAAGCACTGAAATACACTTTTTTGCAAATTTTGTAGCAAAAGAGTTTGTATTTTAACAGTTCTGCAACTAGGTCATTAGCTCAGTGAGACATAATATTTACAGGCGGGCTAGCAAGTCCCGATCCAGTGTCTGTTTAATGTGGTATTTACTCTAATACTTGGAAGCACTTAAAAACTGCTGGTCTAGAAGCGCAGTCCCAGCCCAAAGTTGGGACGTCTGACCAATACATTCATCGCTTGTGTCGTATTTGAATATTCCTCCAAAGGATTGTTCTTTAAAGATGCTAGTTTTAGCTTGTCAGTGATGTATATATAAAAAAGGAAATATAGGTTATTGTATTGTTTAATGAACACAGGATGCAAACCAAAGTTCAGAGGTGCACCATCCCTTTTTCTGTGGCCTAATTTAGGGACTATAACCAAATTTGTATAATGTGTAACTTCATATCCTTCCTCTAAGGTAAAAATATCATTGGAAGCAATCCATGTTATTGTCAATACTTTCTTAAGATCAGAACATGCACAATTTGCAATAGTAGCAGAAGCTAAAATAACATTAAACCCTCGTATTTATCCAGCTTCTGATTTGTTTTTTGACTTTTGGTACATCTTCTATCTGGAATAGCAGTTTTCTAAATAATATTGATCTGCCTATGCAGAATGTAATTATCACATACTTGGTAATTCTTGTTGCACTTGGAGGTGTTAGAAGTCAGCCTGTGAGGAGGGTTGGGAGGCTGGAACTGTTTGCTAATCTTTATGCGGTCATGCAAAGAAATAAAGGAAAACGACCTTGAGTCAAGCCACAATATATGAAAAGGCACCTCTTATGTGACCTCATTCCTTTCCTTGGGATGCCAGAGATGCCTGATGTCTGTTCACCTTCTGCCTTCTCCCCACTCGATTTTGTCTTCTGTCTCTCCCCATCGCTAGCGGAAAACATGGCAAGAGTGAACACATTTTCCATTCAAGGAGGCAAAGAGACAACAAGAAGCTCTTGGAAGCAAAGGTGGTAGCAATATTTAGCTCAGCAGCCTGGGATTATTTGCTTACTTGGTCTTTCCTGCTAAATTGCACTCCTCCTATGCTGGGCATATGCCTTGGCCCTCTAGAATAGTAAACTGTGGAGTTAATTCCTCTTGAGATCCATAAGACACTTCACACTTCTCAGAGTAGCTGAAAATCAGACGAGCAGGAATCTTTAAACTAATTACACTGAGTTTTTTCAAGCCATCTCCACAGTCAGGGCAAGAATCTTGGTTCAAAAAGACTGAGGGTCTGTTCTCCTCTTGTGGCATCACAGGCTGAGGTCTGAGGTTGCATAATTGCATAAAACTTTCCTGGTTTGGTGCCTTCTCTTTCACTTCTTATATTTGGTTCTCTTTAATTTCCATCTGTGCCCCCTGGATCATTTGTGTGGGTTAGGCAACTCTTGTGAAGTTTTGACTCTGACTTTTGTCCACTACCACCCAAGCTGGGGCAAAGGGATCTGAGTGGGTAGTTACTGAGTAGTCAGTAGTCTGAGCACTGTTCGGGGACTGCAGAAAAATTATCCTGCTTCATGGAAGAGGGCAAAAACTCATGATGCTGAGTAAAGGCTGTATCTGATTTTGAGTTTTGAAGGCATTACTGGACCATTTCTCTAAGTACTTTTAACAAAGAGAACTTTTCTCATTTTTGTAGAACATTTGTGTAAATGGCTGGATGGCAGAATTTTGGTTTGGTAGGAAGAGCACTTTGACTGCCTGAAGATGGCTTTGGGATTGGGATTAAATGAGTTTAATAATTCCTCTTCTCATCGATTAATGCCTTGAAGTTTGGGGAAAGAAAAATAAGTATTTTACCAATGTTCAGCATTACTAACCTGTGTTCTAAAAACACTTCCTAGAATGCCCACATCTCCTTGCTGTTGTGTGTGAAATGAGAAATAAATGGCTGGGTTCTTTCATCTGTTACTCTTAAGTAGAAAATACAGACCTGTTTTTTTCTGTTTTTTTCAGCATGGCAAACGTCTCAGATTTAAAGTAGGGTTTTTTTCTAAGTACAGTTACATACATGGTCACCTATTCATAGCCAGACTCTTAAGACACTATTTCGAAGGTAAGCTAGATTTCTGAAAGCATGTATTTGTATCTGCAGTTAATAATGATTGTATTATGACTGCAGTTACTTGGATACCAAGTTAAGATTTAGGTTGGATATATAGGAGTAACTGTCTAAATAGGACATTAAACATTTTACTTGAAAAAGTTGATAACTTCCAAATCTAACAAGAGGAATAATATCCTGCTATGTTCTCCGTTCATTATGTCGCACGAATGAAGGAAGGATAACAGTCTTAGTCCCTACAAAAATGAAGACTCATAGAATAATGCATATTAAATTTTGTTCATACTTCTTTACAGGCCTGACAGCAGCAGCTGCAGCAGCAGCAGCTGCCACCAATGCCGCCATAGCAGAAGCAATGAAAGTGAAAAAAATTAAATTGGAAGCTATGTCCAACTATCATGCAAATAATAACCAGCATGGAGCAGACTCTGAAAATGGAGATCTGAATTCAAGTGTCGGTAAGTCTCAGGCACAGCATGATTATATATCCGTAATGCTCTGATATTATATTAAAATGGTGATCCTTCTGATCCTTCTGAAGGAAGTTGATTTGGTGTAAAAAGTTGCATATTTGTTTTCCTTTTCTTACTGCTTTTAGTTTTATTTTGTATCTGACCTTTACACCAGTGTTCAGCGTTGTTGTTACTATTACGAAAATATTCTTTCCTTTGCAGGTTACTTTTGCAGACTCCAGTTAATATTTTCCATGAAAGAAAGTGGTTTGATTGCTTAGAGTTCATTTTTCAAAGTACAGGTGGGGTGACAGATGATGGTGTCAAAGTGAAATTTAACAATGTCTCCTGCTCAGTGTGCTGGGTATCGACTTTAGGTAATTCAGAACACAAGCTTGAAAGCAAAATATTTCATACTTTCATGTGCCCTGTGACAAAAGGAAAACATACATACACAATAAATTATTGCCATGCTCTGCAGTTCCTATCGTATTTTATTTTAATAAACACATTCTTAAAATGTAGTTAACAGGTTTTTCTATTTCTTAAGCAGCCATCAGCAACTGTTGTTCTTTCTCAAAAAAGAATTGTTTCAGTATACTTACTCGTTTGTTTGGACGATTTGTTTTGCTAAAGCATACTTCAAAGCCAGAGTAACTTTTTGTTGTTGTTGATTAAATCTTTAATCATCTGTGTGTGTCTGCTGTAAAATGTTTTGTTATGCCATTTCATTGTATTGGCTCCTTTTATCATGTTGAGACAGTATTAACTCAGCAACAGAAATTCAATGACAAAGAGGTACATTCAGAAGTCTGCAGGCAAGATTGGTGTATACTGGAAAAAAATGGCTTAAGATAGGGATTTTTTGTTTGTTTTTATTTTGGCTCTTTTGTTTAGTTTTGGGTTTTTTTTTTTTTTTAGTTTTTCATCTCCTAAATACATTTGAAATGAGTCTTAAGGAGTTATGTACTAGCCTTAACATAAATAAATACTTGTTTGTGAACAGCATTTCTGTACAGTTCAGTAGGCATGGGTAGGCTATTATTTAGAAATAATGTGAATTGCAGTTCAAAGAACCGGTTCACCTAGGCACATGGTATTTTAAATAACAACAATATGGATACGTTACTGCTTAAGGAGACAACCGGATTTTTTTGTTTTCCTTTTAAAGAAAGGCTTAAAAAATGCCTCTGTGATGGTGAAGAAAATAGTCTTAAATTAATGTGTTAGTGCTCACACACCAACACCTGCAGTCACTAGAATATTAGTGGAAAGATTGTCCTCTTAGAGAGAAGAGAAGAGGGGTAGAGAGCAGGTGTCTGAAATCTGGGAGGAGGAGATAGGTTCAAATGAAGTGGAAGGACCAGGTGGACCCTGACGTACTGGAAGAAAAGTGAAGTAACAAGAAAGAGTAAAAAAATGTAAATACAAACTGGGAGGATAATGAGTCTGTACTAGAACTAGAAGCTAGTTTAAATTTTAATTTCATACTTAAATGCATGCATTATGTGAAATAAAATGTTCAAATACTGGATTATGGAGCTGTTATTCTGCTTGGCAAACCACCCGTACATCCATGGACGTGGAAAAGTTAACAGGTAATCAACATGTAAACCATGTGAAGTATTTGTAGGAGAGTGGATGGAGGGAATTTTCCTCTGAATAAAAAAAAAGGAAAAAAATCGATTTTGAAATCATTGTTTGAGGCATAATTTAGATAGCTAATCTGCTCTTACACAGCTTAATCATTTTCCTTGTTTAAGAAAATACATTCTAGCTATTTTAGTAGGGCAAAGTTAGCAAAGCAAGATTATTTATTATCATTGTCAAAATTTCCTCTCAGCCCTTTAACTTACTTGTTAACTTCAGTTAATTTTCCGATTTAACTGAATGAAGAATTGAGTTCATTTTGTTCATAAAAAAATGGCTCTTCTGAGTAGAGTGAATAGCATTCCAGGGGTCTCTGTTCCATGAGGAGTGGCTCTGGAGATGCAGTGTGCTTGTCTGTGCATCCAGTCTTGAGCTCTTCCTATGAAGGTTTTCTCAAAAATAGCCTGCATTTGTTTATTTATAATAAATCTTATCTAGTGTCCAGTGTCAGTTGTGCCTATGGAATCAGAGGAGTGATTGCTACTACTAATAATGTCAGGGTATTATTAGGTTCATTAAGACGTAGGTCTGTAGTTATTAGTTGCATTTTTGAAAATTAGCATATTGTATTATCTTGGCAAGAACCCATATTTCAAAAGTGTTGCTTTGTAGTAGGTGTGTGCATTTTTTTCCTCGCATTTTTTTCCAATTTTTTAAATGTCTTTTCAGCTAAACATTATCGAGTCCATATATTGTTAATGATTTAAATTGTGGCTTGTTAGGTGTGAATTTGAAATATCACATTACTGAATGTTGACGGGAGGAAGGACTAAAACAAAAGAAAATAACCTGATATTGGTTTATTTTTTAAATTATGTTATGTGCCTGACCAAACTGAAAAGTAACAAACCAACCAACCAGGCTAAAAGCTTAATTGATACATCTTAGCCCACACGTAACAGACTTTATTGTATATTGGTGTGCATGGATTCAGCATACTATGTTCATAGTCTGCTCCAATGCCTATGTAAAAGAAAATAAATGAAATATGTGCTCTTGAGTTGAATTGTCAGGTTTACTTCTGAATTATCTTGCTTTTAGGTTTTAATCAGATGCTTAATGTGACTTACAGAAGTCATTTTTGTAGACAAATATTGCATAATTATAGAGCACTACACAAATTTATTAACTTGGTCCTTTGAAGCAATGGCCAAAAGGTTAGTGAGTGAAGGGAGTTAAAGGAAGCCAATGATACTAATAAGTAATTATTTTATATCCCTCAGTTTTGCATGGTAACCTTGAGTTCGCATCCTCCCACCAGAATTATCATTTTAAAAGGGGGGAAAAAAGGCAAAAAAAAAAGAAATTACAGAGAAATCACAGTGAGGTATTAGCACACTGAGTAAAATATATGGCTGCAACGCCTTTCTCCCCCATCCGCAATCAATTGGATTCTTTTAGTTTAATATTTACTTGCTAAGATGAGATGCTAGTCTGCATGGTGATAAACAGTCTGCTACTGGCATCTGAAGGTGACCTGTCAGTTCATATGGACAAATCTCCTGCTTACTGAAATGTACAAAATAAATCATTAAAGCAGGCAGGTGCTCATTCCCAGATTTAAATCACCATAGATTTATGATTTGAATTAATGCTTCATTTGGTCATAGAAATAGATGCTGAGACAAATGATATGCAGTGGTTGGGGCTTCCATACTGTAGCCATCCTAATATTGATTACTGAGACGTCTTTGCAATCTCTTGTTTATATCAAGTACTGTCTTGTGACAGCTTGGCTGATACGAGCTACATTGCAGATAAGAAGGAAAAATGTCCTGGTTTCTTTTTAGTGGCAATTCTACATACAACACGCAGGGTAGATAAATTATTGCTTTTTTGTTTAAAAAATGTATTCTCTATGGCAGCAAACAAAAAAAGACTATGCTGTATGTTGTTTGGTTGTCTTTTTTAATTGCAGAATTAAAGGAATGAGAGTGACAAGGTCAAACTTTAAATTTCATTGAAGAGGTTCTGCTCTTTGTCTTATTAACATCTTAGGATGATATTAGGATCAGTTGTATATTTACCATCTAATACTCCAAAGTTATGGGTAGGTAGAGCAGCTCAATTATTTCCTTGCTGCTTAAGTACTTACTGCCATGGTATCATAGTTCATTAACCTGCAGCAGCAAAAGATAGCAGCTTTTGAAAATAAATATGTTTAACGCTATTTCTGTAGGCTAGGCTTTGCTATCTATAACTTGGTAGGAAGTACAGTCCCTATACTTTTGCTTCCTGAACATTTTGTATAATGAAAACACTATGCATACACTTTAGGGAATACTCAAAGGATTTGTAAAGACCTTTGCCACTTGCTAAAATCTGACTCATAAAACTTGTAAACAACTATCAACAATAGTAAATTAGTTGCTTAGTAGGAAGTGAGTTCATATCTATTCAAAATGTGATCTCAAAACAGATGTCCCAAGAAAGTGTCATTGTTTAAACTACATTCATGCAAAAAAAAAAATGCTATTATGTCTTTAAGGAAGTGAAGCAATCATGAAGACTTTGGTGTTCTCAGTTTCTAAACACAGTTAGGAAATGCAAGGCAACATTTTACACTTGGCTAGCACTTTAATCCATAAACAACCACAAAATGTGTTGAAAATTAAGAGGTTTTCTTGGCATGTTAGGTTTCCTATTCATCTGCGTTACCTTGCAATATTTAAAATAATGAGACAAATGCAAGGTTTCCTGTGATCTGTTGTCCAAAAGTAACGGTTGCTTGCATACTATTACTCTTTTTTTCATCTAGAATCAGAGATAAAATGATTTAGGTGAAATTATTTTTCTCCAGTGACCTTGCCCAATAATAGAACAGTACAAAATGCAGTCATTTCCTTTTTCTAAACACACGTGTCTTTTTAGAAGGAAAGAATTACTTTTATGGTTTCAGGAAAAAGTCTTGGAGACCTTGAACAAGCAAATAAAAGGAAACAGCGAATGCAGGCCACTGAGCACAGCTCTGCAGTTGCACATCTGATTCTCTGCCTTGGCAATGTTAATGAACCTCAAATCCTCCCTATAATTAGATGAGGGAATTGCTTATATTTTCAAACAGATGATGCTGCTATAATGAAACGATTGACAGGGAACTTAAGAGTGTCTACAGTAGTCATTTGGTTTCCGGGTTTTGGGATTTTTTTTCCCTCTTTCTTTTTTTTTTTTTTTTTTTTTTTTTAAGCATAAAAAGAAGATTGGCTGTAGATACAAGTCCTGGGAGAGGTAATAATTTACACAGAATGCTATGACAGGTGTCTTAGTATAGCATGGAAATAAAATGGAAGAGAAAGGAATGATGGGCAGGTACTGCAGTTTTTTGGGAGGGGGTGTCCTGTGCTTATTCTGCTTGG